AACCTCATAGGCGTGTTTCTGAGGTTGAACTATACTACCAGTTAAAATATTTGCACTTATTTCTGGGACACCCTGTATATCGTTTGAAAATTAAAAGCCCCATCCTTCAAAACTCGCTCCAAAACCTCATTCTGTACTGTACAGGGTGTCACATTTTGGTTGAAATCATACGGTATCTCCGTTATTCGTGAAGATAGAAGGGTGCGGTTTTTACAAACCTGTGCCACTTTTTCGTCAAATGGAAGATGCTGTCAACAACATTTTTATAACCCTTTTCGTTTCTGAGCTACAGGGTCTTTTCGAAAATTTTGCAATTTGGGACCGCCCCCGTATCTCCGTTATTATGTATGATATCGAAAAGGTGAAAACTGATTGAACTTTTTACGTAGAATACAGTGGCGTAGTCTGTTTTTCTACGAAAAAAATATTTTTGAAAACATGAACTAAAGTTATGTTGTTTTTTCAAATGGAACACCCCGTATATTTATAAATCATATGATCCTCTTTGATATGAGCTTCTCAAATATATATATATCACTGTATATTTATTTCCACTGTTTACTGCAATATTTAAAATATATCATTTTCTTATTAGTAGGCCGTGATAAATAACAAAATCAAAATGGTATTTACTAAAATAGACATGCACATATTAAAATTTTATTTGGAATTGATATATTTTACTTTTGAACTGTTACCACTGAACCTCTAAATATATTTTTCTCTTTTTTATAACGGAATTAATTATAATGGGATGGGTTTGCAAATATTTAAAAGCTTGCATTATTGAAGCATTTTTCAGGTGTTCAACATCGTATTAGTTGCCACGATATATTTCATATTTCAAAAATCCCCAAAATCAGAGATCGAGAACAGACACTCCGGGAATCAGGGAGGCCATCATATGTGTACATTGGTTCCAATTCATTGATTTGAGAAATAATAATTTAACAAAATTCTAATATTTTCGTTGTAATTGTGAGGGGGAGTCCCCCATCTTGCTGAAAGTATATTTCACGTAAATTAGCTAAAGGAATATTTAAAAGTTCCGATACGATAGCTTCCAAGATTTACAAATAGCGGTAGAGATTTAAGTTTCCCTAATATACAAAGAATTAATTAGTGGCTCTCAAAATAAAACAAGAGACAGATAGCAGTATTACTCTTTATAATTCTTTAGTTTCTTTTATTATCAATCATGGCCTACTAAAAAAAATGATCTTTTAATATTTTTTTTTAAATATTGCCTTAAATAATGAAAATAAATATAGAGTGTTATATATTTTTGAGAAGCTTATAACAAGCCAGATCATATAATTCATAAATATACAGGGTGTTCCATTTAATAAAACATAACTTTAGTTCATATTTTTAAAAATATAATTTTCGTAGAATAACACACTACACCACCGTATTCTACGTAAAAAGTTCTACAATAAACAGTTTTCTGCGTCTCAATATCTTTAACAATAACAGAGATACGGGGGGTGTCCCAAATTGCAAAACTTTCAAAAAGACCCTGTAGCTCAGAAACGAAGAGGGCAATGAAAATTTTGTTTACGGCATCTTCCATTTGACAAAAAAGTGGCACGGGTATGTGCAAACCGCACCCTTCTATCTTCACGAATAACGGAGATACCGTATGATTTCAACCAAAATGGGACACCCTGTACATAAGCGCATATGATCTAAGAGACTTTGTAGATTTATTGCCGCACTGGACTCAGTTACTGTGATATTGGAAGGATAGCAGTCCTTTTTGGCTTGAAGAACTTTATATAGATAAGTACTAGAAGGTTTGGAACTGTAAACTACTTCACTTAGCCAAATAACATGTTTTTAAGAAACTGTGTTTTCTTTCTACCGCAGTTTTTCCGGCGATTAAATAATTTACCAGAAAACATCGAAATTTTGCTTCTGGCCCTGTCTTCATCAACAGATGATATTATACTAATGTACTTTAACAATTTGTTTTTTACATCAGTAGAATTAGCATGCGAAATCAAAAAGTTATCGCACAAAAATTGAAATAAGTGCATTCTGGTGATTTCTGGAATGCCACATAAAATGAAAAATCAAAAAAAAAAAATTAATGTTACGCACCTCGTCGCACTTTGCGACTACATTGATTTTGAAGAGAAATGTTCAGACTTTAAAATAAGATTAACTTTGGTCAGATCGAAAGCGCATCTTATTTTTCGCATCCCTTTAAACTAAATAAAAAAGTCAAATTGTAGTGGTATATAAAATATTTAAAATAACAATCGGGTAAAAGACCAAAACAGCTTAAAACTTAGACAAAGAACCTAAATCCATGTTAGATTAATATAAAAAATTCACCATCACAAAAACAATTTCGAACCACGATAAAATTTAAATCAAATAACATTAAAGAATCTCTATTAAATGCTTACCTTTTCAATTGGGAATTTCGCCAATTATTTTATCAGAAATTTTTTGTCCAACAAACATTTTTTGTTTGTTTTTAAGGTGAGCAACTAGTCTAGTATTTTGAAGTTTTCAAAACACCACTATATGGCCAGATGTCCCCGTAAATCTTAAAAATAAACCATTGTGCGGCGGCGGCGTGAATTAAATTTAGTCGGACAGTTCTGATTTCTGTCGTACCGAGCGCTGGTGTCGAGATTTTTAAAATCGGTGGAAATGCACCAATCCTATGTGCAATAATTGAAAATTCCTTTATTGTTTTTATTTTGCTCTTGATCTAGTAGTTTCATAAGTAAGCTTAAACTATTAACATATTTTAATATTCCATGTAGTTACCATGACATTTAAAATTCATTTATATATGACACTAATTCATCCGTTCAACTGCTGGCTTCCTATTTTCGTACAAACACTTAATAGCATCTCTCATTAAATTTTTTTTAATAAGCGCTCGTTTAACCGCAAAGACCACAATAAAACTCCGTTTTTTATTTGAGCGTTCAAAGAGGCTCATAAAAACAGGGCAGCCAACTTAGATAACAGCTTCCCCCTTTTTATGGATGACGTAAAGGGGTGGAATATAACAAGCGATACGTTTTGCCGCTATCTCTTCTCTTTCGTATGCGCCTGACATTGAAAAGGACTTCAATGGCGTTTTTATCGGAATTTTTTGGTTGGTATGATATTTTTAGTGCACCTGTTTCCTGACAGAAAATAAATTATAGGATAAATCATCTTAAAATTTTTTTTTTCTTTAATACTATAATTTTTAGCAAGTGTCAATCCAGTACGTCCAGTAATTAAATAATAATATATTGTTTTACTAGGATTAAAAATGATACTTTTTGTGGCGAGGCTGTACGTTTTACATTACACGCGAGGCACAAAAAGTGTCAAAGTTTTTTTCAAACGTCACAAGTAATTTTTTAAACAATTTTTTAAGCGTTCCAAATAATATAAAAATATTTAAAAGTAATGCCTTATAATTATAGAGGGTGTTTCAAAAAACATGTGCCATCTCTCGTGAGAAGATTCCTCACGTAAAAATAAGATTTATTTTTCGTATCAACATAGGTCCGATTCTGCTTTGTTTCGTAGCTACAGGGTGTTAAAGTCTTAATATTTTTTCGATTTATTATAATTTTCTTCCAAGTACCGGGTGGCCAACTAAGAATGGACGCCGGCTGTATCTCAGAAACTACTTAACGCATAATTTTGGGAAAAAATTCTATTAAACCAACTGAAATCGCTGTAAATTATTTTCCAATTCGAAAAATGTCCGCTAGAGTAGTTTCTCTGATAGACAATCAGAAAACAGGGTTTTTCTCAAAAATATGCAGGTGAACAGGTATTTTAAATATTACTATTATAATCACCGAGAAATTTGTAATTTTGTTGACATAGAGTATTTTGCTCTATCTCATAATATAAAGTGGTGGGGGAAAGTTAAACTTGCTTTTATTAAAATAGGGATAACTCTGGTTTAGGTTAACCGATTTAAACAAACCAGGGCTCGTTTAAAAAAGCTTTTCTTCCTTAATGATCTCCAGTATGAATTTTGTTTCCACAATTTTTTTCGTTGTAGTCGGAGGGCGCTGTTTGACATCATAACAGATATTGCGCTTTTCCATAAAAAAATTAAATAGGAGGCTATATTTCTCTTTGCACAGTTAAATAGAGCACAAACTTTCCAAAATATTAGCGCAAACCGCAACTTTCTATCTCCTCTCTAACGGGAGATATTACGAAAATAAATCATATTCGTCGCCTGTAGGATTGTAAGGTATAAAAATTATAGTAGTAGGCTAGGAAACAAAAAGAGGTAAATTGGTTACATCAAAATATGAAAACATATATTTTAATGTTATTTTAATACGATTTAATTGTTATTTATCCATATTCGTTCCTTGATTCGACCCTATAAATAAAACCCAGGCATATTGAACCCGATGACCTAGCTGGCTATGGAAAATATGCAGCTACAGCGTCTCTATCTACTACAGTAAGTGGTATCTAAGAGGCTCTACACATTCATAGCAAAATAAGCGCCACAACTACACTAACTGCATTCATATTGATGAAATTGCAACAAATGCAATTTGACGGTTGCCAGAGATAGTGTTACCAGAACTACGGATTTACGGAACATATTTTAAGATATTTATGGTATTATATTACAGATGGCTAAATAAATAGATAAAACCATTGCAGTGTATTTAAATATATCTTATACTAAATTAAAAAGTAAAAAAAAGATTTTGGTAACATCTGCTACTATTAATTATTTTCGACTTTTAAAACAAATAAAAAGTAACCTCTTCTTATAAATAACTTTTATAATTTAAAAGCAGAAAGCAAATTTAACTTTTATAACGGTTCAGAAAAAATGCTTCCGGTGAGTCCCATACATTTCGTTTTTTTATTATTCTCCTCTTCTACTTTTTAGTAAAATGTCCAAATTAAACAGTCCCATTCCCCAGAGATTAAAAGTTATATACCGGTGCCGTATATTAAGTAAATAATTAAATTTATCATCCGGTTTTATTTTTCAGAGAGTGGGGTGCGATCTGAGGATAGGCTCCATGAAACAAGTTGACGAATGCGGGGTTTGTGGAGGAGATGGATCCACATGTGCCAAGCCACTGTACCACTGGACATTGACGTATGCGTCACTGTGTTCTGTCTCTTGTGGAGGAGGTAAGATCATCATATACAGTTTCCTAGTTTGGAACCTAAAAGAATTTTTGATTTTTATTGTCTTTATTTATTTTAATTTAACAATGTACCGTGTAAAACGACCGTATGAACTAATCTAATTCCTAAAACTACTGAGCTTATATACTAGAGTTGAGCATTAAACAATAAAAACGCTGGGTGCTGTCAGGCGTAAGGTTGTCCACTGAGAATATCCGCATTGGTACCGTTAACACGTGGTTGCCATATTGTGGAAATGTTCTTATTTGGATGGTTAAAGATGTATATTGGTCGACATTATTACGGCTTCTTTTAGCTTACGTCTTTTCCAATAAGGTCCCTTGTAAACAACCCGGGCTTCCAATCATTTTATGTTATGGTACTTGGACCACAGATAGATAGATATTGGTCTGCTATATCTGAGTATTACTTTACCTTTTTGGGTATGTTATTAATGATCACTAAGTCGTACATTAGAGGATGTTTTGTCTCTGCAATGTACGACTCAACGCATTCGCAAGTTACAATATGATCATTTCATATGCAAAATTATATGGAGAATGTAATCGATTGTCATTTCCAAGCCAACTGGACCGTTTTATTTTCGATCCTATAGTACCTGGTAGATGCACTCTTTCTCTTGTTTTGATGATTCTGATATAGTTTTTGTTAAGACACTTCTTAAAGTAGTCGCTGATTTAGTTTTATACTGCTTGACCATTTGCCTGATCTTTTCCGAGGTTTCTTTCAAATATAGAATACTCAATAGAGTCAGCAATGAGTCAATCTTGCCATTGAATATAATTTTGTCATGGGCTTCGCACAGTAACCATTTTGAAGAAAATCTGTTTTAATACTAGTTCGTTCAGAATTACGAAATTCTTGGTGACTACATATTGTTACGGACCTGTATGGACTCTGGGTGCTGGACCGTTCTAATATGTCCCGCCCCCATACGACCTGGAATCGCATTTAGAAGAGACACCGCTCTTGAATGGCGGCGTACATACGAGAACATTCTAAATCTTCTCTATGCACCTAATGATCTATGGACTGGATTATTCTAGGCTCTCTATGGCTATATAACCCGAGGCCGGTACAAGGAGGACAGAAATAAACAGATTCGGTCGACGCGTACAATTGCCGCGCTAAATTCAAAATAAATTCCTTTTAGATAAATATTTATAAATAAGTTTATAAATAGTTCTTTAGTTATTTTATTTATTATTTTTTGTTATTGTTTTGTTACTTAGTGTAAAATAAATTGTTTAAATAAAATAGACTTTTTTATCCACACGGAACCGACGAAAAACGTAACCATATAGCGATTGCTCGATAACATTAATGATTGCTCGATAACAATTATAGTTATTTTGATAGCTTGACTACACCCAATATTTTTAAGGGTGAATATCCTGCTCTAACATGTAAGCTCGGTGGTTTTAGAATTTAGATTAGTTCACACTTGAAAACAGTCAGTGATACATCTAGAATGCATAATAAGGGGGGGGGGGAGGTTAATCACCGCGATCATTACAGATCTATTGTGTCCCGCTTTCTTGATTTATAACGCATCATAGAGTCCCAGGGCTTTGACAAAAACCAGTATCTGATTTTACAGAGGGTAGTTCTTCATCTCCGATATCAATCGTACCAAAGTTTATGAGACGAATGGTTGTCATCTCGGCGCACTCAGTGATGAGGTGTTCTGGTGTTTCCCCATTTCCCCATAGAATCTGCATTTTTTTAAATTTTTTAGCTTTGAATGTGCATCTACTGTGGCCGGCCGTAGCGCAAGCAGTTAGTGCGTCGATCTGCGGTGCGAGAGATGGGATGGCACTGGGCTTGATCCTCAGCCAGTACGGTCGCTTTATTTATTTAAATAAAAATATTTATTTATCTAAATAGAGTGACCAGCGAGCCGCGACCTCAAGGAAGGCAATGGCAAACCACCTTGAGTATATTTGCCTTGTACAGCCTCTCAAATAGTGCCGTTCGGATTCTACGATAAACTGTAGGTCTTGTATACTTGTGAAACACTGATGACACGCATCACAACCGACGCTCTGTATAGAGTATGGCACTATAAGAAGAAGAAGAAGAAGTGCATCTACTGAGATGTTATTTGAGGAGATTATCCTGTTTAAAACCCCGTAACAATCCGAAGATTGTTCTTACTTAAATCAAGGAAAGTCTTTGATTTTTCTCGGTCATAAGTCCTGAGAAACTTCTTTGGGTATCTTAAATCGTTACTAGATTTCCAAGTTCTTGAGTTCCGATTTTTGTTTTAGTTTGTTTCCAGTTAGGAAGCAGAACGGTTCTGGTCCAGTTAGTGGAGTGTTCACTCCTTTTCTAGTTAGATCATTTACTTTCTCATTACCTTCTATCCCTTGGTGTGCCGGTAGCCGGTACCCAGAGGAGAAGGACTTTGTTTTCTTTGCCTAATTTTTTCAGCTTCTCTATGCGTTCTATAACCAACTTCGAATTGACTGACACTGAGTTGATCGCTTTTAACGCTGCTTGACTATCAGATAAGAGGGCTATTTCTTGTTTCCCGTAGTTCCTATCTAAGATAAGCTGTACGCATCTTAGCGTAGATTTCTGCCTGTAGGATGCTGGAGTAGGTGCCCATTGGTTCGGAGTATTTAGTTCTCGACTCAAATACTCATACCCTTGTTCCTGCTTTGGTTTCGTAAGCATCAGTATACCAAGTTATGGTAAAGTCTTTTAATTGCTCTGATACACTTAACTGAAACGTTGTGTAAGTAAAAATAAATAAAAACAATTGAAATCCTAAATTATTTTGTTTTAAAACTAAATCATTTTCTAGAGCATTCAAAGAAACGATGTATATAGACATAGGTGCATCAATTTTATCTTTAATTAAACATAAAACACATCTAAGATAGCGCGTAAACGAGCGCACGCCATTTCCCGCAATATAATAACCGGAAAACTTATCGTATTTGTTGCCTCCATCGCTTTCCCAAAGCATTTCCGTAACGTTCGACTTAATAGCAGTTTCTATCACAGCTGCTCCGTGTGCAAGACTGCATTACAAACACGGTTTATAATTGGAAAACGTAATGAAATCCCGGGGACTAATTATGATGCTTTAAAACTTGTTTCCGGCTATGGTAAAGTTATTTTAGGTTTCGGTAAACAACGAGGTAAATAAATAAAGTTCGTGCGATGTTTAGGAAATTGTTGGGGTGGGAGAGGCTGCGGCATTTACATTATTAGCAAGTGGATAAGCGTTTTTAAATATTGGCTATATCTAACAATAACTGCACAGTTTAAGTCAATGGTTAAATTGAAATAGTATCCTTTGATACAAGTATTATTTAGTTAGAATGTAGGATGTTCAGCAGGGGGTTAATCATCCCGACCATACGCGAGATCTATTGTGCTCCCATCATACAGTTTTAGGGCTTTGATAAAACCAGTATCTGAAATGGCTTCACAGAGGTCAGCTCTCCATCTTCGACATCAGCCGTAGGTACCAAAGTTTATAGCACAGACGGTTGTTGTCTCGGCGCACTCAGTGATAAGGTGTTTTGGTGTTTCCGCATTTCCTCACAGAATCTGTATTCGCCGTTGTTTCTCAGCTTCAATCTACTGAGGTGTTCGTTGAAGAGAAAATGTCCTGTTAGAAACCTCGTGACAATCCGAAGATTATTTTTACTTAAATAAAGGAAAATCTTTAATTTTTCTCGGTTGTAAGTTCTGAGAAACTTTTTCGAGTATCTTAGACCGTTGGAGGATTCACATTTCAGGTTACGGATGGAGTCTTCCAGGTGCTTCAGTTTCGCTTTAAGTTGGTTTCCGTTTGGAAAGCAAACCGATTCTGGTCCAGTTAGTAGAGTATTTGCTCCTTTTCTAGCTAGATTGTTTACTTTTTCATTGCCTTCTATCCCTTGGTGAGCGGGCACCGAGAGTAGGAGGACTTTATTTTCTTTGCCGAATTTGTTCAGCTTCCCTAGGCATTCTTTGGCCAACTTCGAATTGATGGTTACTAAGTTGATCGCTTTTAGTGCTGCTTGACTATCGGATAAGATTGCTATTTCCTGTTTTCGTTAGTTTTTATTTAAGATCTCTGTCTCTGCTTTGGTTTTAGAAGCATCAGTATACCAGGTTATGGTATGGTCTTTTTGCATCTTTTTTCTACATGCTGAGCAAACGTTTCTCTTTCCCAATCAATTATTATAATTATAATTATAATTATATTTATTCAATATTACAGTGAGGTGTTTCTCAAAGTTGTAAATTCTTGGTATGCGTTGCAGGAGTGGAATTTTCCTTTGATACATTGAGTATATGGTACGATATGGTATTTACCCATATTCAATGTACCCTGTATTTACCCATTGGGTATATAACGGAAGCAAAACATGGGATATTTGCCCAAAATTTCAATATACCGAGTGTTTGCCCATCTCTGAACATTGACCACTAATAACTTAGTTTTATCATAATATTTCTGAGTATGATAGACACTTAGAGAGACACTCACACACACTATCATTAAAAAAATGTATCATACAACAATATTTAATAATAATATCTTTAAATTACTAGATAACACACGACCCACAAAAAAAAACGTTGCCACAGTATTTAAAATAACAGTCAACAATTTCTTTATCATACGTTATTATTACGGTCGATTATTAGGTAAAATATACAAGGAACCGCAAAAAGTTAAATGCAAAAGTTATAAGGCTTTTACATGTCTATTAGCTAGTAGTAAATTTAAGTATACAGGATCGGTCATAAAGTTGTGGCACATCCAAATATATTTTTAAATGAAACCCCCTATATATTATTGCATATTTCAATTATTATTCCTTCAATTTTAAGCAATAATTATAATACGCATAATGCACCTAAATTTAACCATTTCCGAATTATGTAGTTTTGATTTTGAAATGTTAATAGAAAATTTTGTAATTTCCAGACTTGATTTAATCTCATTTTATACATCTATAAATGCTAAGTTTAGAACTAATGTCAAATATTATTAAGTATCACAGGTTCCGCAAAATGGCATCGGTAAATGAAACCGAACATATCGAAATTAAGTTGAATTGATATTTTCAAAAGTCAATTACTTGGAAACGGTTGGTACATTGTATTCATCTCGATTTTTTGCTTAGAATTTAACGAAGAATTGAAATATGCAATAATATACAGGGGGATCCATTTAAAAAAAACTTTTATCATATGCCACGACTTCATGACCGATGCTGTATACCTAAATTTATTACTCACCAATAGACAGTTAAAAATCCTATAACTTTTATATTTGACTTTTTGCGCTATCTCATAATATTTTACTTAATAATCGATCGTTCTCATACATATCAGCGACCCTGTATATGTCTATATAATAAAACTGTATATTTTTTAGGTTATAAAATGTCTCGACCTGTATGTCAAAATAGATTGACAGGCGATGAAGTCGAAGAGGAATTGTGCAATGATTCTCAAAGACCCGATTCAACAGTAGTGGAATGTAACATACATGCTTGTCCTCCAAAGTAAGTATATAAATCAGTGAATATAATACATTTATTAGATAAGTTTATTTTATTATTACTATTAATAATGCTGCTCATCTACAGATAAAATTATTTAAAATTCAATAATATTGATAATTTAATAATGATTATTTTAATTAAATTTTTTAAACGATAGTAGGAATCCGGTTAACTATCCAGACACATGATTTTTGCATTTTTCCTTTTTTGTTTATCGAAATGTAATCATTTTTAGTATAAATTTTAAATAAAACAAAATACGAATTATGCACGGAATTTCAAAATATTTTAATTTTTTGGTACTCTTTGACAAATATTTGATGTTACGGAGAATTATAAGACATGATTTGACATGACACAGTCAGAATGAAAGCCAGTATTTCTATTTCCACTGAATTTACTGTGATGCGCGTTTTGTGTAACGCAGAAACCAAAAATAACAAAAGACTTGTAACAGTCTTTTTTCCTAGAGAACTATTACTAACGCCTAACAGTCGGTCTTTTTGTTCTCGGGCGCCACCCCCAAAGTTTAAAGTGTTTGAGAGACCACCTCGGCCAATACGGGTAGCTTTTCTACAGTGGAGAATCCAGGGAAATGGGGTAAAAGCCAGTTAAAGTCGAATATATTCCATAACGAGGTTTATTTAAATAAATTAATTATGAATCCAATATCTTCAAATAAATAAAATCTGAAGAAAATACTAAAACATGAAATATCGAAAATATAACACAGAGAAATTAAATCGGTTAATTACAATAACAAATAATTAAGTAATTAATTAATAAATTAAAATAATTATGAATCCAATATTTTCAAATAAACAAAATATGAAGAAAATACTAAAACATGAAATATCGCAAAATCTAACACAGAGAAATTAAATCAGTTAATTACAATAGCAAATAATTAAGTTCATATGATTTAAATTCAAACCTGTAAAGAAATATTATAATAGAAAAATACTAGCAATACATACTCACATGCATCTTTAAATAAATCAGATATATAAAAAATATTATTATTATGGTAAAATAAAAGAGGAACCTTAATTAACTCCTCCTCCGTAAAGGAATTTTATACCATAAAAATAAAATAAAAAAAAACTCTACTGTGCTGAAACTAAAATTTGTGATTACTAGAACTCTGATGGGGTATCTGGCGGTTACAAAAAAAAGAAAGAATGTGATTACCTCTAACGGTCTGGTTTTCTGAATCGCCTACAGCAGCCCGGAATCCAGGCACACTAATTATTCACGGTCAGGTATAAAGAAAACTTAAGAAAATCGGCGTCGGATCAAAACGAAACGGTCTGGTTGTCTATTCACGGTCAGGTATAAAAAAAACTTAAATGCTCGGTTTTTAACTATCTATACTCATAAATCAGAAATACGGTTTAGACTTATTTTAAATCAAATCTCTGCGACCACGATTTATACTTATTTAAAATCAAAAACGGAGATACGGTACTTTTTACTTCAAAACTCAAGAATTCGGTTTTTTTACAGCAGTGCTGATAAAAAAACGGATCAGGACTCGCGAGGTTTACTTAGAAAAAAGTTCACCGGTACTTAGTCTCAACAGGAAGAACCCCGTTTTCGCGCTCCCGTCGTATTAAATAATCTTTTTCCGTCGGGAACCACAAACCACGTTCGGTTACCATCGTCCCCACGACCCATCAAGATTCCTTACAGTAAAAAAACGGTTTTTACCCGTCGATCCTACAAAAAAAACCATTTGCTGTTTGTACCAAAAAAAAACTTCAACGTCTCCATGCAAATCGACGAAATATTTAACACAATTTTATCAGCAAATAATTTTTAGTATTAAAAATATTTTTCAGTTTTAGATGTTTTATCATAACAGTTCTAAAAATAAAAATAAACCATACTAAGCTTGTCTAAGAATTATTTGTTACCATAATCCTTCAAAACAAATGAACATATCAAATTCTACTTATATACAGTATGGTTCACAAATCCACAAACGCTATCCGTCCTGGTGATCAAAAAAACAAATATTTAAACATTTACCATGAGAATATTAACGATAAAAAAAATAAAAAAGTTAGGTCCCAAGGCAACCCGGCCACCCAAGGCAACCAGGGTCCTTCGGTGTACCAGCGGAGTACTTTCAAGCCGCGCTGTCGTGCCGTGTTTGATTTATGTTCACGCCTAGCATTTAACCGGTTAAATAAAAAAAATATACGGACTTCATTACAGACTAAAACCAACAATCAAAACACGCTTACAGTAACAGAGACACTTTAGAAAACTGTTAAGAATCAAATGATACCACCATGTCTCAAACGTATCGGTTCTTGAGAAAGCTAACTGTGAGAGCGCCGAATCCCGCTTAAGACGGGCTGATCACGAATGCAGGAAAACCACCTACCAAAATCTCTTTTTTGCGATGAGCTTGTAGACGGTAAGTGGAATCTGGGTGAGACAACTCAATAGGTACAAGGATATTTTCCATGAAAACTTAGACAGGATAAGCATGCAGAATAAGAGTGCAATGGAGAAGAATTGTAAACTAGGTTAACAACGACAACCAAAAAGCAAAGAAGCAACAAAGTAATTAAATTTTTGAATTTTTGAATGTCCAGAGTGCGAAAGGGAGATAACATCACGTATCGTCTTTCAGTCACAGAAAAGCTCATGAAAGAAAATTCCTTTTGTTACCATCTTTTGGTGAGTATCAAATACTCGTCAACGAGTAATGGCAGTAAGTAAATAAGTACCTATTATCGGTTATCGAATTTGGTATAGAAAATAATATAACATTTTTTAGAATATTTTTTATGAGAAACATGTTTTTCCACATCAAACTTTAAACAAATAATTTAAGAAGTTCATTTTAAGTTAAAATAGGCTTCATTTTCTAAAAGAAATTTCTGTCTGGATAGTTCACTGAAACCCGATAGTAGATATAACATTTTCTAAGCTTATAAATATGTTAAATATGTATGTATAATATGATTGCAAAAAAGGAAATAAAACTTGCCATTTCTGGAAAACTAACTTCATAACATTAGAAACTAGCCTCAAGAAGCGAGAAAGGAGGAAGGTTTTATTACAATAAATTAATTCGCCGTTGAACATTTATTAAATCCAAGAAAATTGAAGTGGATTGTTGTCCGCGTCGCGAAATACAATTAATAATCTCTCAAAGGAATTGAAAAACGTCTTTGGGACAGAAATTGCTGACTGAGACGGGGCAAGAAGGAGGATTTCCGGAAATCTGGGAAACGATTTCGGCATTTTTAACTAAGGCAATTAAAGTCTAATAAAACCGGAACAGGGTTTTGTCTTAAGAGAATATTTTATTACGCTCTGATTTCTTCTGTGTTCTTTAATTGCGGATCGTAATTTGTTTAATGTATAACTGGTTTCTGTTGGGAAATCTCCTTGTTTCAACGTTTCAATTAGAGGAGTTTTGGATACCGTTTGTCAGAATTCACCAGCTAATTTTTCAAACGAAAATTTAGAAACTTTTTTGTTCTTTGATCTTATATTGAAGCTTAATTTTTTCCGTACTTAGAGAATCTTTCTATACAGGGTGGTCCGAATTGTTTTCGGGAAACTTCGGCAGTATATTCTGCACATAAAAATAAGTAAAAAAGTTCGTATACATATATGTCCTAAAATGCTTTGTTTCAGACAGACCGGGTATAGAAAAGTTTAATTTTTATTTCAATTTTTTCCAAATAATTTCTGAAACTAATATAGATATTTAGATGAAAATGGGTGGCTGGGTGTTTTTTGACATGAGAAATTTGATTTCGATGTCAATATAACTCTTACTTGTAAGTGGCGCCACCTACACATTTTTAACTGGTTTCACGAATAATAAAATTTTACCCGTAACCTATGGGTGAAAAAATATACATTTGTTCCATTTTTATGGTTGGTAAAAATCGCGAGAAACCATTCTCATTATATTTGAAATATCAATACAAGTTATCATTGACAAAAAATAAACATGTTGACTAGATAGTTATTTTCCTGAAATAACAAATTAGGAAACTTTTTATTTTCTAAAATGAACCATACTTTTTTCTAGAAAAAATCATGACGAAACAGTATGTAAAAATGTATCAAATTTATGACTTCAGTTTAATAACAATCTAGTCATGTTTCATGTTCAAATTTTGTCAATGATGACGTATTGATTATTTCGATTACAAATATCTCCAGAAGTATTACTCTACTTTTTTACGTAAAAAATAGTAGTAACTCAGTAGTTTTATACAGGTATGTAAGATAAGTTATTAATTTTCAAACCACTTAAAAAATATTTAGGTAGCAATGCAGGTTTTGATTGCAATATGTAGGAATCTTTAAGTCGTATTAATATCGAAATCAAATTTCTCATGTGAAATAACTCTCAAGTACCAATTTTTATCCAAATATCAACCTTAGTTCAGAAATTATTTTGAAAAAACCGAAATAAAAATGAAACTTCTACATCCTGTATCTCCGAGACGAAGCCATTTTAGGGCATAAATTTATACTTCAAACTATTTTACTTATTTTCATTTACAGAATATTCTGCCGAAGTTTCCCGAATACATTTCGGACCACCCTGTATAATGATTTACGAAATTTAATAAAAACTTAAGCGAAAGGAAAAAGAACTAGTAGAGACATTTTAAAATACAGTACTAAAAATATATTTTACGTCAGAAATCATAATATGGAACCAAATTGGTATTTTAGATTTTTTTTTAATCCTATGAATAAAAGAAGTGTCAATCATAGTTGGATAAATTGTGAAAAGTATTTTTTATTGTGTATTATTTTTTATTTATATTTTTTTCATTCGCCAAATCTATAAAATTATTATTCCAAATTAATGAAACATTCAAACGGGCAATATACATTTTCCCCCTTCGAGTTAAATGTAAAATTCCATCGAAAAACAACGACAATGTCGGAAACAAATCGACTCGCCGCTCCATTTTGCAGGTAAACAGATTTAAAATTTAAATTGAGCACCG